AATAACTTTCCATGACAGAAATGGTTTTTAATGGAAAAGAAGTAAGCCCAATTATCCAAACATTAACTCTTTAAGAATGCACAAGAACGCCGCCATGTTGTTTGCATGCTACAAATAACTAGTACCGATAACCAGTTGTACGTTCCCGGCGTTCGAGCGGCCGACTCACGAACAACAAATCGAGCTGTTCGTAAACATACGAGAACAAGCCGCCCGAACTCATACCTTGTACCGAAAGGTAGCTTCCCCATGACTTCTCTGCTCAATACCATTTGCACCTGTAATACTCGCTTGAATCAACTGTGGTCTGAGGTCGTAACTAGATCTTGTTCTACAGTGTACACTGCAATAAATAAGAACTATATTAAAATGAACTCAAATGGGCATACAGATATTGTTATGATTTTGCAGTGCATTTACAGCAACTATTTTCTCTACCCCCAACCCGATGGAGTTCCAACTTTCTTTCTTTCTTTCCTACAGTTTCTCAAGATTACAATAAAATCCATTCTTTTAAGAATCCAAACTGTTTCAATAAGGATTACAGTGATACTTTTCACAAATACAAAAGCTTAAAATGGAACAAAATGTTCCCGCTTCCACAGGTATTTATTACAACGTAACGGGATGCATAAATGCAGATTAATTGATTACCTGGCACCGGTTCGGTAGTACATCTCCAGATCATGAAAGTCACATATCTGACCACCGATCGTGACCTCTCGCAGGTCACTGAACCTGCGGCCAAGATCACTTGCCATCACCGTTATAATTGTATTGCCTTCGTCTGGTCCAAATAATGGATAAATCTGCAATTACAGGTAAAACAAAAATATTAAACCAGCAAACCTTGCCCTAATTCAGATTTTTAATGAATGGTCTGCGTCTAGGCTGTGGTAGGCCTACCAATTGTCAACGGACTAGATGGAACATTGACTGGTGAATTAAAATATTCTATGATCATCACTTTTATCTTCAAGAAAAAATTGCCAAGTTCTCTCAACACGCGTTTTCCTCCATGCGTCTCAGGCTTGGTCTCTATAAACTAACACCCGCTTCTGTGTGTACAGGCTTACAGCGTTGGAATCAAAAGAGATATGCAGTTGGACGTATTGCTGGAAGAATTTGACTTATCATTGCGCTGACGACTTGAACACGAAGGTCAGAAGTGGAAAAACCCCCTACGGTTTCTGAATTTGAAGGGCCAACAAGCGTACACTTAAAAATACCCTGGATATTCACCCTACAATTTGAAACAAACCATCATTATAACTGGATCAGGGCAGTTGATTTCATTATGAAGATTGACAATCTCAGCAGCAGTTTCACACACAGCACTGGCCAACACCCCGCAGGTATTCCCACACCACACGCATCCTAGCTCCGCACGGGTAGTTTCCTCAGACACACATCGGCTACAGTCAGGACGAAGGACCTCGCATTTGTACAAAGTCACTAAGATGGTATAAAGATGGTTTATTTTACACGTTAGGAAATATTTCTGTCGCAGATGAGCTGAGCAGCACGTTGAGGAGCTGTGATTATAAGTATTACAAGGAATGTGTTTACTAGTGCCTCTACTTCACTTGAAAGTAAACTTGACGGTGAGACTTCTGGAAATGATTTCTTCGAGTATCTGCAGTTCATGACTGGCCAAAATGACATAGAATTATCTACCATTTGACCCACTGGAAGATTCTGATATTCTTACCTGTGAAACCATGCCGATCGTCCACACGGTGAATGTTGTTATTGTCGTCTGTCCACCATATTGACAATGTCGCATTCAATTCTTGCTCGATGGACGTGTATGTAAACTGTGTACAATTATAAGCAATTTCGCGTGACACATACAATTTGGTGAATAGAGCCATCAAAAAAGAAAGTAGTGGGGCAGTTTAAAATGTGGAGGGTCAAACATTATCATAACAATGAAAATATCCTTATAAAACAAATCGTCATCGTTTTCACGAAGAGACGAAATTCTCACCAGAGAGCAAATCCTAGCTTTTGAGAAAATTGCGTTTGAAGTTGGTCTCTTTTTCAAATGTTTATTTCCCAGTATTTAGCTTGCCTTTGACTTAAACTACTGCATGACAGAGGCAATCTAAAAATGGCACAAAACTGCCAAATAATATAAATAGATCAGTTTGTAAAACAAAATTAACCCCTTCGCGAAAACGTGAAAATTGATGCGACTTTTGTCTATTCGTAAAAACGTGTGCTATTTTGCTATAGCGTGTGACAGGTGAAAAATTATTCCAATTATTCCAGAGTCAAATTTGCCTCTTCGTGAAAACGCCGAAACGAGTTTGCCCATGAATTCGCCCTTTATTGCTAACGCTCTATCTATGGGAGACAAATTCACTTTTTGTGAAAACGCAGGAAGCTTTTCAGTAGAAATTTGCCCCAGGTAACTCACTGTGATTCGGCTGATTTCAGTAGATTTAGTAAAAAAAAATGATTACACCAAGTTGTAGTCTTCGCATAACCTATTTAATGTTGTCAAAAAACAGAAATTTAAAAATAAATCATGATCTTGGGCGAAAGTGTTTCTTTGTGAAAACAGTGACGACATAACAAATCTAAAAAATGTTTTTATAATCAAGAATAAATCTCCCACACACCAGGTAAACCTTGGCCAACCGTAGTCCCCTTTTAAGGTCTTGCCATATCACTTACCGATCTTCGAGTACATGCCACAGTTGAATCATCCCGAGTAGCCTCCACGAACTGGTCCACCCCCTCTATGTTAAGACTGCATTGGTATCTAGACAGCTGACAGTAATGTACGAATATATGCATGAAATCAGATTAGGAATTCCAATTTGTGCCTGAAAGATCAAAGAATTTATGGCAACTAAATTATCCGCATCTGGAACCATCCGCATTTATAGTTTAGACACTGGGTGAAACAGGCCAGGATTCGCATCTAAGAGCCAGTTACATTGGGACCTGACGGTCACTGTGTCTGTTTAGCTGTTTGTTACTGAAATAGCTACATTCAAGGAGCTCAGGGAAGGGAAATGACTTTGGAATGTTTACGTCCCGATGAGTAGCGATGATGATAATGGAAGTGCAATAAGAATCCGTTTGCATGCGGATTTGCGCTCTATGCTTATGAAAACACGTCTATACTGTTATTATGAAAAACAAAACTTGAGCAAATCGATAAAAGTTTTCTGTGGAGCTTGTTTTTGGAAGTGTAAATGTTATCTTATTGCTGAAGTCTATAAAAATCCATATTTTTGTCAGACTAACCATTGTTGACAGCGGGAAATTGGAAACATTGACAGTTATTTCCGTGTTGACATTATTAGGTATCAGCACCTCGCCATTTTGTGGTTGGAGCTGAGGGCACGCGTCTGGGCCGTCCATAGTTGTTCCCCGATTCTGTTGAGAAAATTGAGCAACAGAAAATAAAAACTGCTTCTAGCACTCTACATATTTTGGCTCAATTTTACTTCTGCTTTATAATATAGAAATAAATGAAAACTTTCAATCACAAAAATGCACTAATAATGGTCACATCAACATACTGTTAAAAGATCTTATTTTCTCGGAAACAAATAAATCTATTTCACGAAAACCCTGCATGACATTTCTACCACTGTTTTCAGAATGAAAAACAAACAACAGAGCTGGACTTACGTATTGTCCCGTGACGATGATTTCATTGGGCTTTGAGCAAATCGAATCATTGTGAGTACATCTGTTTTCATACACACACCAGTTACAGGCCCAGTCACTACCAACGCAGGACACACAGCTGAAACCAAAAACAATGCGCCAGACGATAGAGTTCATTCCATTCAGTGACTTTAATTCCACGAGCAGATTTACAAAGTTTCTCTATACACGCTGCTATTCGTCCGTCGCTTTCAGCATTTTGAGGACTTTGTAGCTTTTTGCGTATTTTGAAATAAAACTCCAAATGGGATCAGTTCTACCCACTACTAACCTTGTCAACGTTTGCTAATGATTCGCTACTAGATCATTGTAAACGTTGGTAACATTGACGAGACTGGAACTCAAACCTTGTAATAGTTTCTCTGGGTCAAAAAACCTTGATATATTAAAACAAAAACCAACAGGTGTTGGTCACTCCTTACCTTGTGTGGGTGCCACATTCATAGAAACTCAAGTCTATGCTGACAAAGTTCACACCGGTTTCCATAGACATGACGCTCAGTGAAACTATGACATGGTCTTCTATAGTATCAAACAAGGAGAAAAAATTAAGAAGAAAAAAATATGGTCACTGTTACAAATAAACATATTAAACGCGAGACGGTCATATTATGTAATTGTAAATATTTATGCAACACTTATTTTGATCAAGCAATAATTACCCAGTGCCACTGGGCGTTTACCTTACCTCCAGTAGGCAGTGGTGGTAAGTTATCTTGCGGGGGTGTTCTGCATGCCAAGCTATCCTTGTTGTAGTTTGTCGCTTGGTAGTCAAAAATATCACCAAACCTACACACATAATGGTGTCCGTCGTGGAGCTGTGGTAGCTTTTGCAGTGTCACGATCATCTAAGTGCATGCAGGGGAAATTCAATCGCAAAACCATCAGATGGAGCCCAGGATTAAGGAATATTTTTCGTGAGGTCGCGATAAAGAAATCAAAGTACCTGTTGGCCGGCAAGAGTGATTGGCATGTTTGTAGCGGGAAAGACTTGTGTTATTCCGATGCACTGGGCTTCATTGTAGGGCAACCAGCCTGTACTTATCACACTATCCAGTTGACAGTCAGTATACCTGGTGCATCTTTAAAGGATAAAAG